AATATATATATTTTTTTACTCAGGTGGTACATGCACAGGTTTGTTTCAGGGGTATATTGTGTGATGCTGAGGTTTGGGCTTCCACTTATCTGGTCACCCAGATAGTGAACCAAATGCCAAAAAGAAAGTTTTTAAAGCCTTGCCCCTCTCCCTTCTTCTCTCCTTTCAGAGTCCCCAGTGTCTATTGTTCCCATCTTTATGTATGTACATAACCAAGAATTAGCGTTCACTTATAAGTGAGAACCTGTAATATTTGATTTTCTATTTCTGTAGTAATTCACTTAAGATAATGGCTTCTAGCTGCATTTGTGTTGCTGCAAAGGACATGATTTCATTTTTGTAATGGCTGCATAGTATTCCATGGTGTATAAATACCCCATATTCTTTATCTAGTGCACACTGTTGTTGGGCACCTACGTTGATTCTCTTTGCTATTGTGAACAGTACTGCAATGAACATACAGTGCCTGTGTCTTTTGGTAGACTGATTTATATTCTGTTGGGTATGTAACCATAATGGGATTACTGGATTGAATGGTAGTTCTATTTTTAGTTCTTTGAGAAATCTTCAAACTGCCTTCCACAGTGGCTAAACTAATTTATGTTCCCACCAGCAGTGTATAGGCACTCCCTTCTCTCCATAGCCTTGCCAACAGTTGTTGGTTTGATATTTTAGTAATAGCAATTCTGACTGGGGTGAGACAATATCTCACTGTGATTTTGATTTGCATCTCTCTGATAATTAGTGATAGTAAGTGTGAGCATTTTAAAATGTTTGTTGGCTGCTTATATGTCTTCTTTTAAGAAGTGTCTGTTTATGTCCTTTGCCCACTTTTTAAATGAAGTTCTTTGTTTTTTTCTCCTTAAGGTCCTTATAGATTCTGTGTATTAGACCTTTGTTGTATGCATAGTTTGCAAATATTTTCTCCCATTCTATAGGTTGTCTGTTTACTCTGTTGTAGTTTCTTTTGCTGTGCAGAAGCTCTTTAGTTCAATTAGGTCCCATTTATCAAATTTCGTTTTTCTTGCAACTGCTTTTGAAGACTTTGTCATAAAATCTTTGTTCAGGCCTATGTCTAGAAAGATATTTCTTAGATTTTTTCCTAGAGTTTTTATAGTTTTAGGTCTTACATTTAAGCCTTTATTCCATTTAGAGTTGATTTTTGTATATTATGAACAAACGGGTCCAATCTTCTGCAATCTTCTGTATATGGCTAGCCAGTTAGCCCAACACCATTTATTAAATAGGGACTTCTTTCTCTACTGCATGTTATCTGTGAATTTATTGAAGGTCAGATGGTTGTAGGTATGCAGCTTTATTTCTGGGTTCTCTAGGTCTATGAGTCTGTTTTTGTACCAGTGCCATGCTGTTTCAGTTACTGTAGCCTTGTAGTATAATTTGAAGTCAGCTAGTGTGATGCCTCCGGTCTTTTTGCTTAGGATTGCTTTGGCTATTCAGGCTCTTTTCTGGTTCCATATGAAGTTTAGAATAGTTTTTTTCTAATTATGTGCAAAATGACCTTGGTAGTTTGACAGTAATAGCATTGAATCTGTAAATCATTTTGGGCTGTATGGCCGATATAATGATATTGATTCTTTTTATTCATGAGCATGGAATGTTTTTCTATTTGTTTGTGTCATTTCTGATTTCTTTCAGCAGTGTTTTGTAATTCTTACTGTGGATAATTTACTTCCCCAGTTAGCTATATTCCTAGGTATTTTAATCTTTTTGTGAGATTACTGATTTTTCTAGCAAAATGTTAAATATTAACTCATGAACATAAATCCTTTTTGAATGAGATTTTTTTGTAAAATGTATTACTACATATTTTATATTTTCCTACCACTACAATCTTGATAATTTTGTCTTTTTCCATTTTAAATCAAACATATAAATTAAACATTATTGTTAAACATAGAAAACTACTTATTGAATGACTATCATGTTTATAAGCACACACATAATTATGTTCTCTAAAACATTCTGCATAATTTGCAATGAAAAATATCTGTTTAAAAAATATTTCAGATGATTGTATTTAGGATCAAAGTCTTCAGCATTTACATAAGGTCAAGGAGAAGTAGTTATTGGACATGTTTCAAAGGAACTAAACAGATTTTAGTGGGTAATTAAACTATAATTTGTAAAGTATATTGCTTGGTCTTTTATGATACAATGTCCTTTCCATTCTGAATTTTTAAATACACCTCACCCCAAATTTTAGATATTAAAAAAATTATTTCTACCATTGCCATTTCACCTAAAAAATGCCCGTTCTTATTAATAGGTAAGTATATAATATCTAAAAAATTGATAAAAAAGACTCAAATATTTTAATCGAATCCATTGGCTATAGGTAGTCCATTCAGTGGTATAATTGAGAGGAACTCAGGATTTATTGCTCTGGGTGGATAAGAAAAACTCTGAAAAATATGGCTAATATTGAGTTTCAAATGGCTCTTGAAATTGCTTGTGATGATCCACAAAAGCATATACTAAGTTGACGTACATTAAGATACATACACTATGGTGGAGCAAGAAGGCACTGCTTTGTGAATTGGTGTATCCGTTTGATTCTCATTTTTCCATATTCTCACGTATAAAATGAGACAATAATAGCGATCTATCAAGATTACTGGAAGGTGGTAAATAATGCATAGGAAACTGCCTGCTACATAACTCGCAATTAGTATTAGCCCCTTCCCCTTGAATGGTAAATATCAGTGGAATATCTACTGACTTTTTAATATGATAGAATTATTTTTCATTCATTCTGCAAGTATTTATTAAACAAGCCAGTCAGGGATTAGACATAAAAGTAAAAGTATTTCAATATATTCCAAGTATGAATATTTTCAATGGAGGGAATTAGAGGCTTACCCAGTGGTTCAAAGGCTGCACAAAACAAGAGGAAGAAGGCAGTCAACAACAATCTCAGCCTTTGCACTATGAGGTTCTCAAGAGCTTGCACAAAAGACCCCTGAAAGAACCTCTGGGAGATTTTCTCTGACGTCTCAGTCTGCAGGAGTGATACAGGTGATTTTCAGGAGGCTCACCTGGAAACTGCTTCAAACCTCACACCTTGGTCAAGGGCCTGCAGCCGCTTCCAGAAATAATGACCCCTTTCTCTTCCAAATCTCGTGCACGTGCTTCCCATTGCAACAGATTTCTGGGAATGTAGTTCTCAGCTTCTCCTGTAGTAGAGACCTTAGAGAGGGGTAGCAGTGATGCCAAGTTGACCCTAAGTAATCCAGTACACCTACTAAGTGCACAGCCCTGTGCTCAGTGTTGTGAGAAATACAATGGGAACTCATGCGTGATCTTGTTTTCATCCTGCTCCCAATGGAAAGAGGAGGATAAGACATGCAAATAAAACCAGTAGTCCCAGGCAGAAGACTCAGGTAGAGGCAGATGCAGGGACAATGCTAGACAAATTGGTGAAAGAGAGATGTTTTTCAGCCAGGGAAGAGAGAATCAGAGAAGGTGTCATGGAATAGGTAGACTTTGGATTAAACATGGAAGAACCAGTAAGTTTGAGGTATAAGTAAATATGGAAAAGCAAGGAATTCCAGGGACATGAAAACATTACAAAGAGAAACACAGAAAAGAGTGTAGTGAGTACTAAGAATATCATTAAACTTAAGAAACGTATTCTTGAAAAGGAATAAAGTGCAGGGCAAATCCCAAAAAGTAGTTTATGTTTAATCATAGGATACTCTTGCCAAATATGAGTTTGAAATTTCTTCAATAGGAAATGGAGAGGAATTTAAGGTTTTGAGAGGATCATGATTCAATTGCCCCATG